CCACATCCTGTTGTGATGACTTCCTTATTGAAAAAAAAAGCATAAAATACTTCAAAGACTTCTCAGTAATTTCCACCAAACATGACTAATTGTGTCTGTTAGATGATGAACCTGTCTCAAGGATGGTTTGGAATAGGCCTGAAGCTAATTCCCACACTTATGTCTACAATTACAAAGTCAGACTTCACTCATGTCAGGCCTGTTCATGCTTGTAAAGTGCTGGATGTTGTCCAGGATTAAATTACAGCTCTGTTCTATCTGAATACAGGTAGTAATACAGCACACAGACAAAGAAACAACTGCTGTAGCATGTGCCAGCCGGATGATCACTACACGGTCACTTTCGGCTAAACTGTTCAGCATCAAGACGCTTAATAAGCTGGTTTATCTGACAGCTCATTAGAATTGAGGATGCCATTTGCTGTGAACTAAAGTGACATCTTGTGGTAATGGGTGCATTAAAGTTCAAGAGAGACCAAGGTCAAGTGCTGTTCGTCACCATTTGTGGTCAACAGATTTAGCATCAGCTAATGGGGATCCTCTTACAACAGTGCTAATATATGCTGCATGCTAACTATAGGATTAATTTACAACACTCAAAATGCCAGAAATGTTTGGACATTGATTTTTTTTTTTTTTATTACCAAGAAGCTGTTATCTCCTCTGCAATGTAGTGACCTAATTGTTTAGATTGCTTTTTGTTGTAATACTAAAACATAAGGATTTAGCCTAGAATCTTTTTCCCCACTTTTTCCATGGTGTCCAATTCCATTAGCTAGGTCTCCCCATCACACAGTATTACCAAGCTAGGAGGCTGAAAGCTACCTGAAAGAGCCACCGCATCTTTTTAAACTGCTGCTGACACATCACTGGACAGCCAAACAAGCTTAGCAATCTCATCTTATCCACCCAGAGACACTGAGGACTATTATTGCTGTCTTGGACACTCGCCCCCGAATGGATGTGGCATCACTGGGGATCAAACCTGCTGTCTCCTGACATTAGGTACACTCTAAATAAAAGTGCCAAAAAGAGTTCTTTCAAAGAATGACATAAAGAACTTTCAACTGAGTGGTTTCAGTTGAGTTTTTCAAAGAGCCACCTATTGAAAAGTTCAATAGGGAACCAAAAGTGGTTCTGCTATGGCATCACTTCAAATAACCTATTGTAAGAACTTAGTAGTTCTACAATTACAGACTGCAAGGCCGGTCATCCCACACCACATAATAATCTAGGAGAAAAATCATTTAACACCTTCTTGAAATCAGAACACCTTTGGCGATAGTTGGGAAGAGCAAATCAGCCTCAAATTCGGGTATTATTCTTAAGCATGTACAACACACGAACAAATTACTAACTGCATGGCTTTTTAATAACACTGTGGGAAAATAGGGGCACAAACATCCAAAATATGGGCAAACTACTAGCTTGTCTGGCACACCTTTCTCATCTGGTAGCCATTAGAGCAATGTTTTTTCCATTGCTCAGCTTCGCAAAAGATGAATAGCTGGGCCGCTCTATAAAACCTGTTATGGGTCCAAAGCATTTTTCTTTTTAGCTTACAAAAAGCAACAGAGCATTTGACGTTATGCGAGTTATATTGTAACTAAAATAGTCAGTGTAGTTAGATAGCAACTGACCACCATGTCTGTGCAATTTATGGTCAGTTTCTCAGACCCAGATAAGGTTAGGCTAATATGGCTTTTTATGATGAAACCCCACAGAAATATCAGTTTAGTCCAACACTAGGCTTGTATCATGTCTATGAGACCAAACAATAATATAGCAACTGTTTGTTTACATGTATAGAGTCCATATCATTTTAAAGGAATGTGCTACAGTGTGTTAGCTTGTTTATGCTACTTTTGCTAAAGAAGATAAACTCTTTGGAAGAGAATCTGGTATAAAATTTCACAACCACAGTATGTCAGGGTGTCAGTCTGCAGCCCTAAGCTTGAACCACCCATCACAACAAATACCGTTATGCAGCTGCGAAGGCATATTCACATTTTGGACTGTAGCGAGTTAGCATGGTGCGACATATCGCAGTAACACGAAGATTCGAATGCTGATGTATCCACTGGTCCCTTCCACATCTCCCTGTTCAAGATACACCACAGCTTCCCTTTAAAGAGAAAAGTCAAAAATCAAACTTACATTCAAATCAACTTCCCCCTTACCCCAAATACAGTCCATCAGCCAAGATATTCTTGTAGTCTTGCCTCTTTAGTTTTGCATTGGAGTTACTGAGTAATGAAAGTGTATATCCCACCAATTGCATTGGAGTTACTGAGTAATGAAAGTGTATACCCCACCAATTGCATTGGAGTTACTGAGTAATAAAAGTGTACACCCCACCAATCATCATGGAAACCCACCAATAATAGGTGGAAAAGCGCAACAAATCCACTATCACCAAGAAAACACATTTATGGATGGACATTGCCTGACACTGAATAAAGTAGTAATCAGATTCAGAAATCAATACATTCATATCAACTTCCCCCTTACCCCAAATACGACTTATTAGCCAAGATTTTCTTGTAGTCTTGCCTCTTTAGTTTTGCATTGGAGTTACTGAGTAATGAAAGTGTATATCACACCAGTTAGCATCACGCAAACTGTACACCTAAATCACACTTGAAAAAAGAACAGAAAATCTGTTATAAAATCCAGTAAGCATGTGCATCAACTTCAGCAGCTGCAAACTGGCTTCTATTTTGAGCAAGCTTCAAGCCAACAAGTTTTCAGTTCCTGTTTAAGTACAAGGAAATGTCTAAGAATGATTGTCCGAAGTATTCAACCATACACTACATATGCTACAGACGCAGCAAGTAGAGATAAGCTGGAGTATTCCTTTAAGAAGTCTCAGGAAAGACTATGTGATTGTGGTTTCTGACACTGTATGACATACTGATATCTATGAACATATGAACAAAAATACAGACAAGATTCAGGTTTCAAGATAGCTGCTACTTTTTTTAGCTATTTTATATACTTTTATCCATATTTATTTTAAACCGTATGCCAAAGAAAGCAGTAGTGAACTATGACTATTAGTGCAAGGCCTTCAGTTGGGGCCATACATGTCAAAAACCAGTCAAAAAGGAGGAAAAAAAAACACCTCTATGATGATGCACTTCTATGAACGTCTGCTAGCGCCCCTGTAAAATTCTGGTAGTGTAAGCTAACAGTAAATCACATTAACATTTTTGGCCTTCTAGTTTAAACAAGGACACCTGAAGCTTGTAAAAGACGTCGATTTATTTGAAGCTTGTAACAGAGTGAAATGCACAGGTCAGGTTTTCACTCGTATTTACAGTCAGTGATGTATCACAGACTTACAGAAGGCCTAGATTGATCCCTTAGAAATCAAAATGTAGTTGATTCCACTTGATTCCAGATTATATTAGCGGTAATCTAACGTGTAAGGCCTTTAGTTCAGCTTCTGGAGTCCTAACCAATAGGAAAGCTGTTTCTAGATACCAAGGTGACAAAAAATGACTGGACATTTTTCTCTTGGGCATTTTAAGTTCTTAACATTTTCACTTTCAACTAAAACTTTACAATAATATAAGAATATTACTACAATACATATATCAAATAAGAATGAATTAAAAGTACACTTCCCCTCTGATAGAATGTGGAGGGAAAAATGTATAAATCTGATTTTTGGTGGAACCATTGCTTTAAATCCAGTGATTAGTCACTCTAGCTCAGCATGTCACAGTGAAAACACCCCAGCACAAAGGCTCTGGGTCAGCCTATCTGGCATGCTGTGGATGAGAAACAGAGGAGTCTTTCAGTGCATTGTCAAGCACTGTGACAGAAGTGACCCAGAAGCCGTAAGAACGGGGGGCTGGGGGTGGGCTAGCATTTTTACCACTCACACTGCTTACACTGATGATGCACAGCGGCTCAAAGCAGTCAGGTCAGTTTAGGCCGTTATCTGAAACTGCTGCAAGAAGCAACTGCTTACCATTTCTGTATGTGTTTCATAAAAACTGTGGACATGTTTTTACCGAAACCACTGTCGGTGAGGAAACACGTTCACAGATTGACGCTGAGTTTTGAATGACATTTGCATTTTGCTATTTGAAGCCTCAGGGGCCTGTTTGTGGATATAGATAACTGTGCAGAAATGCAATACGCTGAAAATGTAATATATATTGGATTTTGGAATACTTTGACAGTATATTGTGGCACATTCTTTTTAAAATGGGACTACAGGTCTTTTATATTAGCTTAATGGAAGTTACTGAACAGCAGTGACTAAATAATAGGTGCAAAAGCTCAACAAATCCATTATCAACAAGAAAACACATTCATGGATGGACATTGCCTGATACTGGATAGACATTTTTTTAGATTTAAGTAGTAATCAGTTTCAGAAATCACCTGAAAAGTGTTCAAGGCTAGGCAACCCCCACAAAACATTAAGTAAGGATTTTCTCTTTTTTTGTGTGTGGAAAACAACCTTGTGGCTTGTGTTATATCTTACATATTAGTTTAATACTAGCTATTGAATGAGTCTTCAGCTTAATTGATAAACAGGGGGTTCAAATGGGTCAAGCACTGTTAAACCTTTTCAGCAAATCATCCGCATGAAAGCACATTCATAGTTTGACACTGTCTGCCTTTGAATGACAGCGTTTCATGATATTAAAGCAGTAATGAGTTTCAAAAATCATCTCGAGGGCTGACGGCTGCGGCAACCCCTGCAGAATAACAAGTAGGGGCTTTTTTGTGTGGCGATAAACAGCCCCCTGGCTTGTTGCTCAGGACTGCTGGTGCTCTCTTTTTTCAGTTTCTTCTTGCTGAATGAATGTGGATGCCTTTGAGAAGAAGGGAATGTTTACAGGATGTTATCCGTCTCTGCTGCCTGCCCCTCGTCCCTCTCTCCGAGTGGGCTCGTAGGAATGTTCGCAAGGGGGATGGAGCCGATCCAAAGGGGGAGTGCCACTAGGCGAGAGGCTATATATACATGCGGACCCTGGGAGGCTGGTGCTTTGACACAGCTGGCCGCTGCTGGAACACTAGAGAGAGCACCTCAGTACACTTTACCCAAGTAACGGTAAGCTCTTCTCTCTTTTTCCAGCCTTTGTCTATTTCTTTTTGATGTCTTTTTTTTTCCTTTTTTTGTTTTGTCTGCTTTTGTGATTTTATTTGCTTTGCCTTTTTTTAAACACAAAACACATGAAAGAAAGTTCACAGAACATAAAAGCAAGTCTTTTGACATACAATTCTGAAAAAAAAATCTTTGAAATACATACATTACTGTCTGTTTTGGCTTAGAAGAGGCAAAGGTTCCTCAGAAGTAATGCGAGATGGCCGGATGTCGAGCTTAAGCAAATATTGACTGGCATAAGACTTTGTCTAACATTGTAAATATGGCTGGATTAGTAACCAAGGATGTGGTTTTGAGCTGTAAAGGTTAGTTGCTGAAAAAAGATTGTGCCTACAACAATGATCAAAGGCAATGCATTTTTTTTTCTTTTTTTTGGCCAAGATCTCAAAGATTCTGGTGCAGACAGTTACGTCTGACTGAATTCAGTAAATCATAACAATTGAGGTGAGAAATATCTTGGAATTTGCGCTTTTTTTTCTTTTAAATTGGATACACACCCTGGAGTGGCAATATTGTTGCAAGGGAGGATTTGATCAGAGCCTCATTAAGGATCATTTTTAAGTAAGTATATTTTTTTAAATCCAGATTTTACTACAATGCTGTCATTAACGTTTATTGTTGAGTCATCAGTGGATTCCAAATGTGAAAATTCTTATTGTTCAGTGAAACAGAATGATCTTCAGCACATAATCTGGAAGTCATTATGTGAAACATTATTACATTAAGAATTGGTAAGTCCTTGAAAACATACATAGAGGTCAAGATTAGCTCAAATTCAAGCTGTACTTACTTTGATTTTAAGCAAATTTTGTGTGAGGACTGTTTATTTGTTGATTGGTTGAAAGATTGTGGCTTATATCACTGAACAAGTGTAATGGTTACACATTTTCTCAGATCTGGGTGTGCCTTTTTTTCTGTAGTATACGCAGGGTCTTGGGAAATGAGATATGTGTGAGCTCATCTCCCCTGTGTAATCAAAGTACCCAGAAACGTCCTGAAATGCTCAGTGGCTCGGGCGTTTAAATGTCTTTCCCAGCAGCCCATGTTGAAAACAGATGTTCTATACTCTTTTTCTTGCTCTGGAACAGTAAATCACCCCCTTTCGTCCAGCATTATTTCACAACCCTCTTCGTCATAATGAGATGCACTCATAATTTGCCTTTTGATGTTTACTTTCAACCACAGTAAACTTTCAGTATGTTTGTTCTCATTCATGCATGGTAGACACCTGATCCTGCCCAAGCCTCAATTGGAGGGTGTGGTGTATTACAACTTCGGGCATGTCTCTACATGTCCAGAATTTTATTTTCCCACATTTTATTGGCCTCTGCTTATGAGAAACCTGCATAACCACGTCCACAGTGCAGCAGTTTGCAGAAATGATTGGTTCCTGTGATCTGCATGTCTCAGGTTACCTCAAAGATCTCATGTTGGGGAAATAAATATGACCCTTAGAGATGACCCGCATTGATTCTGGCATTGATTTTTGTATTGTGGGTATCACTTGGCAAAGAGGTTTTTACATGACTTATCTCGCTCTGTTACAGAGAGAGCACTTGCCTGGCCCTTAAAGGATTAAGACAGGGCCTCTTTTCCGGCATCTAAAATGAATCGTGTGGAAGAATGGGTTCTGGAGAACAAGGGCAAGATTGAGAAAGGAGTGGAGATAATGGGTCAAGGCTGCGAGATCCTGGCAGCCACCGTGGGCCAGTTCCATCCCATCCTGGAGGCGGTTTTCGTGGCGTCGGCTGAGATCCTCAGCAACCCAGAGGGCAAGGAGGCCAAGTACCTTGCGGAGCAGTTTGAAAGGGTCAATCAGAAGCTGGAAGGGATCCAGGACGAAATCGACAAAATAGCCCTGGAGCTGCAGCGAACATCGATGAACAAGCAGAACTTCGACCGCGAGGCGCAGATGATCAGCCAGTACGAGAAGTTTCAAGAGTTCGTCCTTGCCAAGCCCAAGTTCAAGGAGAAGAAGAAGGAGAAGTTCCTCAGCCACTTCGAGAACACCGATGGCGATCTCAACATTGACGCTCTGTACAACGCTGTCACCGGAGAGAACACGTCTGGAGACGCAATGCTGGACACGGTGGTGACCACGGAGCAGCGAAGCAGAAGGGCAGTGGAGGAATTCTGTGCCCAACTGAAGAAGCTGTTTCTGGTCGGGATCATAGCGGTGATGGGCCACGCCGCCCTGAAGGATGGGGCAGTTGGGGAGGCTATGGTAAAGAAATGGCAAGACCGCATGGAGGATGTGGAGAAACGCATGAAGGCAGCAGTGGATGAATGTATAAACAACTTTCCTGCACAAGCCAAGATGGATGTAGAGCACCAACTCCTGGAGAAGCCAGGCAGTGTCGACCCAGAGTTTGCCAAATTCCTGCTGGATGCTCTTGCCAAGAAGTATGACTGGGTCTTCTGGTCCATCAGGGTGTTTAATCATGGTGGCATATTTTTCTGGAATTGGTTGGCCGGCAAGAAGTATCATGGAAGTGGCGGAGGTGGCAATTTTTTTGACCTTTTGACCAAAAATAACATAAGAATCGTGGTGTCTTTCAGTGTGGACCCCAAACCGCTCAACAAAAGCCAACTGCACGATCAGATCGAGAAACAAAGGCTTAAGGGCAACATGGTATCTGTGGCACAGTCTCTGTGCAACAGTCTGCCCAACTGCCTGGTGCATGCTGTCAGCCGCTATAAGAGAATTGAGGAAACCAACAACTTCCAGCCAGAATGCTATTATTATGGGATGCACAAAAGGGCATACCTTTGCATCCATTCAGAGTAGTCGACTACAGATATGAGAAATATCAGAATGGCAATCACTTGTTTATCTTTTGTTTTTGTATCAGATTTTATTAAAGATCTCAGCACTAAGAAAGGTGGGAAGTGCATGAAGAAATCTAGTTTCTCTATGGCTTCTTTTTCACTGTACAATGTATAAGCGCTCATGTGACTTTATGAATTTTAACATGTTTAATCAAGATTGTCTAAGAGAATTGTGTATGTCTCTGTGTCTGGGCAAATACTGTATTCTGTCAAACTCAGAAAACAAAGCATGGTAGTGTGAAACGTGCAAATATAAACAGCATTTGTTGACTGAATGAAAATCTGTGATGCTGGCAGCCTCAACATTGTGGAATATTATTTTTAGCAATGATATTTAGGGTGGGAAGAAAAAACATTCCAAACTTTGTCAATGTATTACCAGTTTTGTAAGTCCATACTGTCTCTTTTCATGTGTATGATGTCATTTAGCCTGTATAAATAATATACTGGATATGCAAAAATTGTTATCTGGACTTTTGTTTGCAAAGATAAGCAGTTTAGGCCTTACATGATCCAATCTAACAGCAGAAGGGACTCTCGGAAAATAATGCTTAAAAGTGTAACTGCGGCCTACTTTCACTAGTCAAACCTCAAAAAGTGTTAAAGGAGAATTTCACTGATTTTCCAAGATTTCTATGCTTAAATTGTTAGGAGTCAGAACTGTTCACAGCGGTTGTAATGGGAACCAGACGTCGAAAGCTATTACATGAAATGATCAGAAATACACCTCAGACATTGTTTTACAATAGTTTTGAAATAAGGTTTTGACCTACAAATAATTTTTCAAAAGCCATTCATGGCAAAGACATACATGCAGGGTGTTGTAAGGAGTTATTATTTCAGATTTACCACTATTTTATCACTATCAACACTATACTGAAAACCCAGAAATATGTACAGGTATATTTCATTCTGGATTGTAAATAAAATGGCCATATTTGCAAAGGAGACATCACGACCCCCTGGTTCCTATCACCACCACTGTAAAGAAATCAAAGGTATTAAGTTTCTCTGCAATCCACTATTTCATTTCAGACCACACTGAATAACTTTGTTTACATCTGAAAGGGTCAATTTTACAGACATTTTGAAAAACTAGTGAAATTCCCCTTTAAAGGCTGGGCATTTTAACAGGCTAAGGCAAGCTCTTCTCTCAGGATCATGGGGTGTGCCTCAAGTTAAGCTCTAACAGGGAAGGGAAACTACATGGTGGGAAGGCGTGCTAAACCGGACTGCGTAAAACTGCTGTGTTTATCTAATTCTCGAAGGTTTCAAGGTGAGTTTTTGGTTTGCAAGGACACTAATTCATCTAATAAACCTCAGTAGCCCATACGCCGTCCTTCAGTGCAGACTGTAATGATATGAGGAGCATATTCTTCTGAAGGACAGAAGTTGAGTAAGTTAGTTCAGGGCGTTGTTCCGTCTGAAACCACGTAGGTTAATTCTCACACAGTTTAAGCAGAATATAAGTGTGTGCCGTTTTCATGGTGGAATGTGTGAACAGTTAACTGTACTTAACCTTTAGTCAGTCATTAGCTTATGAACATCTCGTGAATCCTTGAAAACGACTATGTTGTGCCTGTAGCCTACCAGGAAGTAGCCTCGTCCAAATAGTCTGGAGTAGGCTTCATATTCGCTCCGTTTTTTTTTGTTTTTTTTTGTAATTTTCCGTTCCACCTTAAATAGTGCAGCAGCTACGGCCTGGCGCCTATGCAGGCCTATGTGACTGCCGCGCCATTTAAGGTGGAACAGAAAATTCGCGTCACCAAGTTCGAGCACAACTTCTCTGAGGCAGTAAAGGAATTAGCTGTAGCTCATGTTAATAGTTCGGTCAGATGGCAACTTCAGCAACTTTTAATCCAGGCCTGGGTCTATAATGTGAACATGACAGTGGTGAAAATTGGACTTAAATGTTGTAGCTAAATGTTTTCTTGGTACGAAAGACGTCGACTGGCCAGCTACACCACACTGTCTGAGGCACACCATGTTGTTTACAGCTGATAACGGCCGTTCCTCAGCTTGGAGTTCAAAACTAAGGGTCATCTTTTGCTCTGGGAACCTCATTGACATGTTATTTGAATGCTAATGAAGCTGACAGCGGCTTCCCAGCTTTTCTTTTTTAAACTGGGGCCTTTTATTTAAACCTATCCTAGAAGAAGAGCATAAGTAGAGCTGGACGATATGGAGAAAAATAACATCACAATACTTTTGTAATCATTTTTCATGATATTTATTTTTTCTGGCATCTGATAAGTTATAGAGTGCCACATTTTAAAGTGCTGTCAATAATTCAGTGATTTGTATTCAACATTTCACGTACTAAATCGACTCCAAAATAACTAATTACAGTCTTGTGCAAAAGTTTGAACACCCTTGGTTAAATTCCGCTTTGTTCATTTTTTTACGTTGTATTGTTTTTGTTTTCCTCCCAATATGTTTCAATCAGCCAATACACAGTAATTGTGCATTAAAAGGTGCAGAAGTGTGTTCTCTGTAGAGGATGATGTAAAGAAACATGCAGTTGGAAGGATTTTTAAGTACTGACAATATCCTTGATACGTCCAGAAAAGCAGATTGTGACATATTATGTTGTATTTTATTATGGTAATGATAAATACTGTCATATTGCCCAGCTCTGGGTATAATAATACTTTTAGATCCAATAGATTTTTGATTCTGATGTCCAGATTTGGTTCAATTGTGATATTTTTTGTGTTTATAGTGTCTGCATTGTGCATAACTCGAATTATATGCTTCACAGGTTCAGTTTCAATAAACACTAGGCCTCCATTTAACTGTTATTTAAAAAAATAAGATTGCCAAGTTTCATAAGCTTGTGCGCAATAATGATCTTAAAAACAGTGCAGCTGTGCTGTAGACAATACAGAAATAGACAGGATGCCTGGTTTTGCTTAGTTTTGGTCAAAAAAATGGTTTCTACAAATGATTGCAAAGGAGAGACCCTTGGAGGTGCATACAGTGGTATGGGAGGGTTTAAACACCCCCGGCACAGAACAGACTTAAATACGGCATTTTTAATTCAGCAAATAAGTAGCAACTGTGCATTGAAATGTCCATTTATTATTTATGTTCATGTGAAAAATCAACAAAACATGCCACTCGACCAGGGGCGTCCTAATTTTTGCATATGACTATATTTTTTGGATACCTGATTTTTCTCATTACAGCCTTGCTTAGAAACCTCTTTGCAGCTTCTCAGACCTCTTATAATACGCCTGAAACCTCAGCCACTACCCAGTATATTATCACTGCGTTAGTGGTGTGTTCTGGTGTAATCTCCTCAACATAGGCGCTCTCTCACAAAAGTGCTGCAGAAGCCCAAGGGAGGAGGGGGTCAGATGAGGAAAGCTGTTCTGTCTGGTGCTTTTTGGTGCAGAGAAAAACGCAGTGTAGAAAGAGCACAATATAACAGGGGGGATTCGTTATTGCAATATAAGCTTCTTTAATGTCACAGTATAAACCTCTGATATCATGAAATATTGAAAGCCTGAGAAAATCGAGTCGCTCTTTCGATCTGTATGAGCACACTAACCAATCTCAGATGTTTCTGATGAATTCAATGAATGTTCTGACAAATTACAATCATTCATGTGGTCTGACAGCAGCATTATTTGGTCAAATTGTAGGCCTGCCCTGAACCATAGGACACTTAAATATGCGTTTATATGGCAATTAATGTCACAATGTTTGTTGCAGTATCAGTAAAAGTGTCAACTGCATTTCATGAAGGCCTAATTTTGTATCTGATGGTTCTGCACAGCTTACACTTTCACCAGCAGTTCGGATTACATGTATTTAATTTAATATAGAGCAAGTTGAACATACAAAACTGTAGAGATTCAAGGTTTATATGGTCATTTCAGTGCGCGGTGCTGGGAATGAGGCTGTGCAGAAGGAGAGAGAGATAGCCTAAACTAGAAATGTGGGCAAAAACGAATTGCTGTCAGAAAAGAAGCTGACAGCCAGGTTTTCTTTGTCTAGTTTCCATGGTTACTGTCTGGGCTGCTTTGGAAAATGTACTCCTGCCCAGCAAGTTGAACTACCTTATTAATCATTTCCCCACCCACAGTGCCACTCACGCACACTGAACACGGACAAACAACACTTGTTTATTGATATTATAGTAGTATTACATGTCCATTACTGCGTTCATGTAGATCTTCAAGTGCTTGTGTTTTCTAGATGTATATAAATTGTTATTTTTGGACTCTGTAATCACAGTCTTTGTACATGTCTGGGCAAAATGTCAACAAAGATTATGCATCGGTTCCATTTCAGATGTGCTTTTAAAAGGCCCTGAAATGAAAGCAACGTGCTAAATGTGCTTGATTTGTTTGCATAATTTCCACTTCATTAAAATATCACTGCTGTCAGAACAAAACCTCATATCTCCAAAATGGTAACTTTACAGGAGAAGCAAAAAAACAGCTTTACTTTTAATGTGAGTCAATGGAACCAGACTTTTTTCCAAGTAATTTTGGGCTGTTTCTTCTGGTTCCTTCATTGTGAAATTTACACACAATGTAAAGGATGACAAGTATTTTCGAATTATGTCAAAAACTGAAAAACAACAAAAATGCGAGGTTTTGTTTTGACAGCAGCGATATGTTACAAAACACGGCCGAAAATTGAAAGGCAGTACTGTTGAATGTATCTTATTAACGTGGAAATAATGGATCAGGTGCAAAATTAAATGACTTCAGTGCATCATTTACAGTATGTCCAATGCAAGAGCTATTATATTAACACTGTCAGTTTAATTCATGATCCTAATCCCCGATTCAGGTCTTTAATAGGAGCAATTTGCTCATGCTTTAGTGTAATTGAGAACCTGTTCTCAGTGTATGAATATGTATAATGACTGAAGAGGCCCAACACTGTGAATTCCTGGTGCGTTGTTGCCTCATTGCTCATGGGGTGTGTCGTCACAGAGTGGTATGCTATGATAGCAGAGCTAACTTGCTTTTTCTCTTCTTCTCACACAGTGATCCCCACTCATACAGCGCTCAAAGGCCCAAAAACATCACAATCACGGACTGTCTATGTAAGTTACTTGTTTACTTCTTTTTTCACTTGAGAAATTATATTTATCCTGCTGTTAAAAGTGCTGTAACGTCCGTCATATATATACCAGGGGTGTCTGCGAAGGGCTGGCATAGCTGCAAGTTTTCATTCCAAACAAGCAGGAGCGCACATGATTCTACTTGATTAATCAGGTGATCTCAGTCTTCAGATAATTGGTCATGTGTGCTTCTGCTTTGTTGTAATGAAAAGCTGCTGCCAAGAGCTGGTTAGTTTGACAGTTTATATCATAGTGATAAATTGTGTGACAATACAATATAATATGCTTTTCTGAGCATATCATGAATATCGTCAGTATTGTAGAACACTGACCAACTGCCTGTTTTATTATAAAGAGAGCAGAATTAGTCCCTTTTAACTGGACTTAGTGCAACACAGTATGCAAAATATTGCATAAAAATCATAAAATCATTGTATTCACAGTTTTTGATTTCTTAGCACTGTAGCACTGCTGGATCTTTTTTCTCTGTTCTAACTGATCAGATATCTGAAAATCTAAATATCATGCAGATTTCTTGAGGTATCGCAATATAATATTTTTTGCCATATCGCCCACATCTACTGCAGCCACGCCAGCCCTTTGCATATACATTTGTACACCCGATATGTACAGTCTTATATCATGTTCACATCAAGTATTTGAACCTTACTAATCTAAACTTACTAATCTGTAACTAACATAAATTATTCAGTAATTAGTACTTTATATTCCTTACTTGTGAGTCAGTATCATGATATTGGCTTTTGCAGTAATATGCAGATGAGGCCTCTAAACAGTCAGAATTATTTTACTGTTTGCCGTGAGCATCCTGACCGGTTACAGTTTAAGATGTGTGTTTCTGTGGTTTTTGATGAATCAAGGTATTGATGCAGCCTAACAAAAGTACATTGTTTTGCACAAAATAATACAAGTCAATCTTAAACCATGCTGCATTGTTGATTTGTGCACTTTTAATATACTGCAAGGTACAAGTAGCAATATAATCACCAAACGAGTATACTTTATCCATATCATGCAGGCCTTGTAACTTACTGTGAAATTATTATGCAAGTTATGTACTTCAAGAGTAAGGAATTAATGTGTGGACCTGCTTACAGTGCTGTGCAAAACTAACCCTTCCTTTGTTTAATTTACAGTCAAAACAGCCAATATACACAAGTTGTTTTGATATTTCTGAGATACATATACAATAATTCCTTTGTGTGAAGAAGGGAAGAACTATTTATACTATTTATGCTAGTTCAAAAACTATTACAATTGGGGATTAAAAATGGACCTTTTAGACCACCAGAATGGCCACCAGTACCTAAAGCATATAGAGAAATAGCAAAATGCCACACGAGAGTCCAGACCTCAACATTGCTGAATGTGTTTGATTACTTGGATTGTAAAAAGCAGAAAATGCAACCAACTTCTAAGACTGAACATTAGAGGAAAAATATCCCTGCAGATTTCTTTAAAAAACTAAAAGCAAGTCCCCTGAAAAGATTGGAAGCTATAATAAAGGCTGTATAAATAAAGGGTGGACACAGGTTGGGTTCCTTCACCTCACAAGAATGAGCCATATTAACTTGTACCTAATATCCGTTTTGACAGGAAATTAAATAATAAATGAAGGGTGTGATGTTTGCACAGTGCCGTTTAGACCACTTTACAGGATTTATCTGGTTTGTGTTTGAAGGAAAGTGATACTTTGTTGTCTGACCTTCTCTGTTTCTTTGCACACAGAGTTACATTGTTTGACTTCACACCAATCATTAAAAATGGCGGATAAACTTCAGAAATTAGTTGCGGACAAAAAGGATGTGGTGGAGACAGTGATGGAGGTATTTGAGCAGGGTGCGGAGGTGGTGGCCAGCATCGCTGGAGATTTGTTCCCGGTTTTCTCCATAGCTGCTCCCGTTGTGAAGCTGGCACTGGATAACGTGGAGAGCAAAGAAGCGGAATACATGAAGGAACAGTTTCAACGGGTCCGTGAGCGCCTGGAGGTCGTGTCAGAGGAGATCCAGCGCATAAACGAGGAGGTCAAGAAAAGCGGGGCGGACGCTGCTTACTTCTCGGTGGAGGAGAATCTGACCAACCTGTTCCGCAAGTATATGGACATCCTGAATGCCAAACCGAAATTCCGGGAGGCTAAGAAGAAGCAGTTTATGGAGCACTTCAGCAAGACCGGGGGCGACAAAAATCTGCACACGCTGTATAACGCAGTTACAGGGGATAACTTTTCCGGAGAGTCTGTGCTGGAGATCACTCTCAACTATGAGCAAAAGAGCCGTAGGGCAGTGGAGGACTTTTGTGCCAGGCTGAAGCAGCTGTTCTGCATAGGCCTCATCGCCTTGATGGGCCACGCGGCCCTTAAAGGCAGCGAAGATGAGGAGCAGCTGCTGAAAGAGTGGGCCGAGAAGATGAAGGTGGTCCAGGAGAAAATGAACATTGTCATCGAGGACTGCATCAACAGCTTTCCGAGTCAGGCAGAGCTTGACATCAAGAGGCTTGTGAGGGACAACAGGGACAAGACCAACCAGCAGCTTGCAGACATGATTCTGGAAGCCCTGAAGAAGAAGTACGACTGGGTTGGCTGGTCGGTCCGTGTCTTTAACTCACCCACAGGCCTTTTCACCAACAAGAAGGACTACCATTGCCCCACAGGAAAAAGCAGGTTTCAAGTGCCTACGCCAGATGAGAAACTGAATGTATTTGTTTCTTTTAGTGCTTCTCCAGAACCTCTAGACAAAACCCAGATCCAAAAGTTGGTTGAGGCCCAGAAGAAGCCTTCAGTTACAGAAGTTGCAGAGATCCTGTTTGAGAAGGTCCCTGTATGTGTGGTCCATACCGTCAAAACTTCCTGCAAAGAAATGGCCTATGCCTGGAGCTTTAAAGATGAGCTTCACTTCTTTGAGCAGTACAAGAACTTCTACCTGTTTGTTCATTCTGCTTAGACACAAATAGTATAGAGACTATAATGTTTTTTGGGCCAAAAATAATGACAAATATATTTTTTGCCTTTATGCTGAGTTTAGTCCTCTTTAAGGACTCCTTCTAAGCATACTTCACAGTAGGGGTGGGCGATGTGACATGAAGATAATCAACACATTTTCACGACATGATACATATTGTGATATTTAGTTGCCACGGTGCCACATTTGAAAATGCAGTTTTAAAGTACGAGTATAATTATATAATTGTGATTCAGACTTGCAGTCTTGCAAACAAAGGGGGAAACCTTGCACAGCAATGCCATTAGGGAGCCTCTTCTAAACTTTAATTAACCCTTGTGAGGTGTTGATGTGTTTGGTTCTCAGTGGTCCGGTGGACCCACCGCATTATTATTATTATTTTTTTTTAATCAATACAGCCATAACACTGTATGTAAAAATACCAGATGTTTTAATTATCACAATTGTCCAGTGTAGGGTTCTCCTTTAGCAGCTGTAGCCAGTCAGCAGCCTGTCCATGTTGTCCACCCTCACACACACATATATACAAACACTTACACGCAGACACACACACTAACAGCAGGCCATGTAGGAGGAGAACAGAGTGAAGGAACACAGCAGCTAAACGTGGGTTCACCCCAACACCACATGTGTTCAGTGTGAAGTCACTGAAAAATTTTATTTTCTATGTTCTTCACAGAAAATGAGCAAAAGCCAAGGAATCTGGCATTGAAATAATAAAAAATCGTATTATTTTTTCTTATGGTAAACAACGAAAATGGGTCCACAGACCTCAACACCACACAAGGGTTAAATGTGCTGTTTGTAAGGGCTTCCAATTGGCACATCTGTCTTAAGTGTTGGCTTTTCATTAGGAGACGAAGTTTGATGCCACAGCCATCCGTGGGAACATAACTGGCCTCGCTCTCTGTGAGTGGATAGGAGCAGTGGGTCAAACATCACTCTGCGCAATGCTAGCCAGTGCTGGCATCTGTTAGCTGACATACTAGAAACTCTCCAAGTGCATTGCGTCTAATATTGTTGTATTGTTTTTGCCAACATCATACACCTTTATGTATTAACATCACACACACAGGCCCAAAAAGAAGGTCTGGCTCGATTTTTAGTCTCAAGTGCAAAATGACCCCACAATTTTGAAACCAATCAGGTGGTAGATTTCTAACCCATGACATGCCCAGAAAAGCTTATCAAGACATCATTTATTATGATAATGATAACATATTGTCATATTGCCCGCCCCTAATCCTCTGCAAAAAAGTGCATATATAAAAATGTAGTAAAGTATAAGCATTATTCTTACTTTGAGCACAAAAGAACAATTACTATTTTAGATGCAACACTAACATTCTCTTGTAATGCTGAAGGCACAGTTGTGAAGTGTGAGAACGTCTGATCTTCTCATTGCTAAATTTACACTGTGTTTGTACTCTGATATTTTAAATATAGCAGAAGTGCCTTGTATCTTTTGTCTCAGTTTATCTATGAATGTTCTGGGGGAAAATCACTAATCCTAAAATACATGAGGATGTTTTTGAAAGAACAGAATAAACCAATGAATTGAAATGAGGAGATTATTTCGTCTTGATGCAGTAATGCAAATGAAGTGCCACCCTTTCAAAACCGAAAAAATCACAGCACTGATCTCTGTTTCTACACCTGTTTGTCCCTCTGTGCTTTTAAAGGTGGAGGATGACACGATTCCATTTAAACTGGAGTTGCTACATTTCAGCAGGACCAATCTGGGCATGTTATAACGCATTTAGTATCGTGAAGGGAGAAGAACTTGTTGCCCTATGAATGTTTTCCACAGCCCGCTGGAATGCCAGACGGTTTATCAGGCGGGTTTGTTGTTTTTCTGTCCTTGAGCCGTGTAACTGACTGAAATATGCTCCCACACTGTTACTCATGGAACTGTGCACCCATAATTGCACTGATTGACACGCTACTTTTGGTTGTTGTCGTGGGCTGTTGTGTTTACTTGATTCAAATGTGTACATCATGTCCTCATGCATACAATATGTTACCTCGACACAGTTATTGCCAAAAGTATGTAACATAAAAGACACATTTGTGGTGGTGTATTATGTCATACATGCTGAAATGTACATATTTGGATTAAGTCAATTCAGTGCATGACCTTTTTTGGGATATTCATTGGCTTCATTTGCCAGTGTCATGCAAAAAGTTTCCTAATACAGCCCCTTCAGCATGGATAATAACCCTATCAGTGGTTTGTAGCATCTGTTTGCCAAGTGCCAGGTGTTTTACTGTGTTAAACAATTGCCCTTTGGTCATTTGTTCTCTGTTTTTTGACCACCATTGATAGGGTCTATAGGGCTATATGCGCTTATATGCTTTGACTGCTGTTTTTATTAGAGGAATATGGAGAATCCGGCCATCTTTTATGCTTCTGAACAAAGTGATTGAGATTTTGTTTGGATGTTACTTAAGATTGGCTAGATTTAAGCCAAATCCAGGAGCTATAAGCGATGGTAAGAATCATCCCAAGCTAGCCTACTAAGATCCTTTGGCAAAAAAAGCAGTCTAAGGCCTTGCACAGACATCCAGACTTTGGTTTAGATCTGTCTGAATGGAAGCACAAGCCAAAAAAGACATGAAGCTCATTTTTGCATTTCTTTTTCCCTTTCAGCTCTCCAGTAGAATGTTCTTTATAAACTGGATATTAAACCCGACATTAAGTTTATGCATGATGACGTCATTCCAGCCAGTGGCTTAGCTAGGATCTTAGGGGCCCCAGTGAAAAACAAATAATGAGATCCAGTGCAAAAAATACTTAAAGTCAATAAACAATGACTGCAGTTTGCTTGTTTACTCGCTGTTGTTATACCTCAGACACAATGCTTTTTAAGGCCTGTCACTCCACCCACCAGCATGCAGTGTTAACCTAAATGTTTACATTACATCACCTATTTTAAATCACAACAATCATATGTTATATTTAGCTCTCTGACAAGCCACTGGCCAAATAAGACGGTTATGTAGATTGCTTGCTGTGCGACCTACATATTTTGATAACATACATGTTTTTTATATATTATTTGAATGGAATGATTTTGATTTTAGAGTTATAAATAATGAATGTATAATGTTATAGGTTGCAGAGGACCCGCTTGAAAGTGGTTACCATGGATGAGACTTTGAATTGACATTATGAATAAGAGGGAGATACATATGTGTGACTTCTGTCTGTGTAGTGTTGATGGAAGCTGACTATTGAGGTATGAGTATTGAGTCATGTATCAGTATCTATGTGAGGGGCCCAATAAAGATTTTAGGGCCCATGACCCCCACTACATGAATAATCCGATCATAATCGTATTTCTGCAGTTATCTGATTATTCAAATTATCATGTAAACGGCATACTTTGATTTCTTAGATTGGAGTAAGTGTACTCTTACTCTGATTTCTTTCAGATTTCTCAGTCTGCACATGTGCGAAAACAGACGAAGGTACCGGAAATAAGTAAGCAGCGTTGCCACGAGATGCAGCAAAAAACTTTTGGAGTGATGCTGCAACCAAACACATGCTTGTCGGAATGAAGGTGACGTAGCAAGAAGTCATATAGGTTGAGTTTTGCATTACATTTACATCACATCATCTTCTGTGAGTTTATTGGCTGGTTGCAAAGCAGAAATCTGATTACTGACTCACATAGACCCAGAGATTACTGAGGCGCATGTAAATGCATTGATCAGATTACTGACAAAATCTGATTTTCTGAAGTTAGCAGGTTATGAAGTGCATGTAAGAGTTTTTTTTATGTTTTTTGTGCTGCATGTCAGATTGTCGGTCACCCTTTCGCTTACAGGGAGCAGCTAACTTCAACTTTATTAGGTTTTGAATTTTCAGAGGTGGGTTTTCGGACAAGAAATCAGTTTAGGCTGATTCTGTTACCAAACTAATTCTGACAAATCTGCTCAGCAGATGCTCTACAGTCTGTCTGTTTTGCGCATGCATTGGCAATCAAAACTCTCCTTTTATATTGTAATAGATTGCTGTTTTTTCACCTTAACATTTTTTTCTATTGACACATCATTTTTCCCCACATTAAGTTAAAATTGTAGTTGCAAAGGACTCCATACAGTGAACATACAGTGTTCCTCCTTAAGCATGCAGTGCCTGTAAAGTCTCTATGTTTTTCTTTTGTTTTTCTTACTTATACTCTGTTTTCTTACATATACTCTGTTGTATTCAGTGGGGCTGTCACTACCAATTATATTCGTAATTACTCTATGAACTAATTAGTTTAAATTGTTTCCTCCAATGTGTTAAGTTCAGCAAATAAACAGTAACTGTGCATTAAGATGTGCAGACGTGTGTTCTCTGTAGAGGCAATAAGGAATCTTATGTCGTTTGAACAGTGGTGACTGTAAGTTGGTGTCCATCAGGCTCTGTTTCTTACTGTAAGAGAGAGCAGTAATTTAAAATATGCATCATGCAAACTGCCAAATAGTCATTGCAGATTTACCAAGAAGGTACATTTTAGTCAATAATTTTTTTAAAATTGAGCAATAAAGTTCAATAATCTTGACAGCCCTATATTGCAGCTGGCTCCTGGTTTTCCAGTCAGTGGTAACACAGCATAAAGCCCGGGTGTCAAACTCAACCACTAAAATGGCCATAATGAGAAATCTCAACAAATCTGTGGGCCAGAAATCACCTGTGTTTTTCTTTGATTTTTAAAGAACATTTTGCTAAAACCCAAACTGGGCGTTATTTATTCAAAATCTGACAAAACATCAACAGCAAAATACAGGCACTTGTAGTAGACCTTGAAATATTACACAGATACTTGGGCCCAATCCCATTTCTTCTTTTTACCCCTACCCCTTTTTTTTCGAGTGTCACCCTCAGTAACTCAGTTCCAAGGGGTAGTGGTTGGAATCTTGCCCTTGCTTCATTAACAGGCTACTTGCGCTGCTCTGTAGGTGACCCGGCCCGTCTTCAGTGATAGCAGAGGAGTGTAAAGTTCAGCAACCTCACTGCCGGGCTTTAGTTACATTTAGGGCATCATATACTTTCAAAGAGGGACAATTATTTATTATCACCCACTGAAACGGCATTAAACTAAGATACTACAGTGGTTATCATCATTTGTTAATGGAGAAAATCCTCACATTTGTGGGTTTCTTTGGTCGCTTATGCAGCCATCTTGCCAGTTTTTCTTTTTTTTCTCATATCACTCCGTTTGGAGTGTGAAAAACCTCCGTTTGGAGGGCCATGTAGCCCTAACCCTGCCCCTCTATTTCAACAAAAATTGGGACACCCTAACCCTAGACGTGAACACGCAAAACAGAGGGTTAAGGGCTAAGTGGTAGGGCCGAGGGGTGAAATGGGGGCCTTGGAGTATTAACAAAAATAGGCTACATAAGCTACAGATTACTGTTAAATCTCTCAAGTAAGGTCTTTTATACCGATTTGC